CGCAGAACGACGAGCTGGTCCCCCTGCCGGGTCCAAAAAAAAAAAAAAAACCCCGGAGAGGACATCCGTGTTGCTGCTGCTGCTGAGAAACTACAGACAGGTACGGGCAACATCTGTGTCTTTGTTTGTTTGGTTGTTTGGTTGGTTGGAGTGAGAAACCCGGATCAGAAAGTTCGGATCGGATTCGTACGGAAAATGTGATTGAACGACAGGAGCAGCAACATTGCTGCTGCTGTTGTTGCTGCTGCTGTTGCTCCACACTGCGGCCTATCATTTCCATTGATCTGTGACCTGCTGCTGCAACATGTGGCAAAACAACGGGCTACAGGGAACGTCGTGATTTGACAACGTGACGTTGCTCAAAACAAAACAAAAAAATTAAAAAAATTAAAAACAAAAAAAATCCCGAATGACCCTTTTTGACCCATTGGAATCCAATAGTACGAAAATATACCGGTAAAATGTAACGTTAAATTTCGTCAACATTCATAACTAACTACAAACAGCATCAAAAATATATATGAAATATACATATATATTCATATATATATATAAAGACACTTCTCGAAGAACGATTCCCGCAGCTTTGTTTTCGTGAGTTAAAAGTTTGTAGGAAGTCGAAAAGTCCTTTTTATCGTGAGGTGATGTTTCCATCAGAGAATTTTTTTTTTTTTTTTTTTTGGAATTCCGGAAGAAGAAAAAAACACAAAAAAACAAAACAAAACTGCGCTACATGAAGATTTGACTTTAAAACTTCTTAAAGATCTTCAAGTCAAACTTTTCCTCGTCTGTCACTTAAAACTTAAAACGTACGCTAACGTCGTTAGCGCTTTAACATCGCTCACACTACCGTACTTTACGCTATCCTTTCAGTTAAAGTTCAATATTAATTTCTGAGTCAAAATCCAGGTCAGTTTGCGATAATATTTTTGCCGATAGTTTTTTCAGTCCTAGCGACCGCCGTTTGTCGACAACAACAGAAATTCGCGTCACAAATAAATATAGACGTAGAGAGAAAAAAAATCAGCTCGTTACGTTTCCAACTTCTAAAGTTGTTTTTTTTAACACAGAGATTCCCAACCTCTGGGCCGTGGCCCTCTAGTGTGCCGTGAGAGATCATCAGGTGTGCCGCGGAAATTTGATATTTATATCTTATTACGCAAATATTTTTTCTTCGTTTGTCAATGGCTGGGAGGCAGAACAATAAAATACTTGTCACTAGAGGGCAGCAAATGGCTGTGAAAATCTAAAAAAAAAAGAGAAACCGAGCTCGAAGATCTTAGTGAGTGTCTTTCTTCAATTCCTAGCATATCAGCGTTGTCTTTAACTAAACAGTTCAAATTTTTTTTTTGTATTTTATACAAATTTTCGTGAAAAAAATATAATCATTTATGCTAAAGAATAAATAGGGGAAAAAAATCGCGACTAAATTAAAGCGTTAAAGAAGTGATACTCCTGTAGTCTGAGAACGACCTCAACACATCGAAAATAGCATTTAGCCGGTCAGTCGATGCCCTTGGAGTTAGCTTCTTGTCTTTTTGTTCACTCCGACTGGAGTTAAGTCAGTGGGTCCCAAAGTAGGGGGCGGCCCCCTCTCCGAGGTCACGGCGATTACAATAGTCCTTTGTACCAAAGGGGGCGCTGCAGAAACTCATTGGAAACGACCAAGTTAGGAAATATGTTTCTGATGATTCTGGAATCAAAAAGCGATAAGAAAAATTTTTTTAGTCCTCCGACATGGCAGAAGATTTCACCTGAAGTTTGAACGGGCTGTTTTTCTTTTTTTTTTTTCATTCTCAGTGATGCTAACGCTTTCACTAGCGTCTTCTAACGCATCTGAACATCAATCAACAGAAGATATTTTTCTTCTGCCTTGAGTGTCGGTGACGTCAGGATGTGAAGATTTCACCTTCTTTAACTTCAGTTTTTTTTTTTTCACACACCGACCAATCAGAACGCCCGAGACAGAGAAAGAAAATATTTTTGCCCAGCAACAATATTTCAGCTGGACAACCCTGTGATTTGAAGTCGTGTTAGTCACGGACGTCTGATGTCATTGGTCCTCCTGCAGGTGTGTGTTTTTTTACAAGGTGATTAATCACCGGGGCGGAGGTTAAAAGTCATCTGAGGCTGCAGGTTTAGAAAGTTTGACCTGGAACTTCACACGAGAGACGAAGGTGAAACTGACATTGACGCCTTCCAGGCAAGTCGACAAGTCTTTGTCCAAGTGTCGTCGTCATCTGGAGCTGTTTTTGTCGTTAGAAATGAAAGCCTCGGTGTTAGCTGTCGATCACCTGTTAGCTGTTGGTCACCTATTAGCTGTTGATCACCTGTTAGCCGTTGATCACCTATTAGCTGTTGATCACTTGTTAGCTGTGGATCACCTGTTAGCTGTCGATCACCTGTTAGCTGTCGATCACCTGTTAGCTGTCGATCACATGTTAGCTCTTAATCACCTGTTAGCTGTCGATCACATGTTAGCTCTCAATCACCTGTTAGCTGTCGATCACCTGTTAGCTGTTGATCACTTGTTAGCTGTCGATCACGTGTTAGCTGTCAATCACGTGTTAGCTGTCGATCACGTGTTAGCTGTTTATTACCTATTACCTGTTGATCACTTGTTAGCTGTCGATCACTTGTTAGCTGTCGATCACTTGTTAGCTGTCGATCACGTGTTAGCTGTCAATCACGTGTTAGCTGTCGATCATGTGTTAGCTGTTTATTACCTATTACCTGTTGATCACTTGTTAGCTGTCGATCACTTGTTAGCTGTCGATCACTTGTTAGCTGTCGATCACTTGTTAGCTGTCGATCACTTGTTAGCTGTCGATCACTTGTTAGCTGTCGATCACTTGTTAGCTGTCGATCACTTGTTAGATGTTGATCACCTAGTAGCTGTCGATCACCTGTTAGCTCTTGACCGCCTGTTAGCTGTTGATCACCTATTAGCTGTTGATCACTTGTTAGCTGTGGATCACCTGTTAGCTGTCGATCACCTGCTAGATGTTGATCATCTATTAGCTGTCGATCATCTATTAGCTGTCGATCACCTGTTAGCTGTTTATCACCTGTTAGCATCACCTG